TAAAAAAAATAATAAAAAAATAAAAAAATAAAAAATAAAAACTGTAGAGAACAGCAACGTGCTTTACTCCCGCTGCCAATTTGGGTAATGCGCTTTAATTTTTTTCCCATTAGAGCTACATATTTATGTATTTGACCAACAATTGCATTTTTTTCAATAATTTATTTATAGAATCCTAACTATATTTCTTTTATGGATAGAAGTTACTAGTCAAGTTGTTTTCAACCCTTTATGGCATCATACTTTAATTTCTTCATATTGCATTACAATATATTTGGCATGCATTGGATTATTAAGACATTAAGATAACATGTTCACAATTTGAAAACAAATTGGTTTAAAAACTAAAATCTTAAAAAGAGTACCTGAACGGAAACCAAAAGTAGGATGTTATACCAAAAAAAACATAAAAACTACAATGTTAATTCATGCATTTAACCCTAAAAACAACTTTCCAAGTTTCATGAAAACTATGTTGCTATATGTAGAATTTCTTACCCAAGAAATGCATCCAAGTTGTTGAACTTATGGTTTTCTGCTTTGTGGTGTATACATAAGCCTGAAACATAACAAAATCGAATTAAAAATGAAATAAAAAGACATTTGCATCGAACCTTCAATATTGACCATCACATTTTTAGCAATGTACATTCTCTTTATCAAGAGACTTCAATTAAGTATATTACTCCAATTCTCATATAACAAAATGACTATGCTCATCTAGTCATTCTAACAATCTTTCAACTCTATTCCAACAGTTATTTATGCTCCATGAAGCTTAATAACCAATTTTAACAATTTACTCCAATTTTACCCTTTGAAATTAGTCATCTTATACCCATTTTGACAATCTGCTTTCAACAAAGTTTCCAAAAATAACAAGTTATCAAGTTCATGAATACACATTTCAAGTTACAAATTCAACCTAACATTTTAACAAATTCAACCATAATTTAACCTAACATTTAACCTAAAATCTCACATTCAACAAAACAAATCAACATTATCAATGAAGTAACCATATAAAGTGGTAGACATGAAGTAATATAAAAATAAACTAGGGTTTTACCACTCTTGGAGAAGAAATCAAGAATAGAGGAGACGAGTTGCAAAGGGCCAGCGACGGCGAGAAATCGAGCAGCAGCCACGATGCGACCGTGAAGGGGAGGAGTTCGCTGCAAAAAAATGGAGAAAGGAGGAGCGATTCGCAGTAGAAAAATGGAGAAGGCTGAACAAATCAACATTAAAATATAAAAAAAACAAAAAAACAAAAACAAAAACAAAAAAACAAAAAAAAAAAAAACAAAAACAAAAACTAGGATTTTACCTCTCTTAGGGGGTGTTTGGATTAGATTTTTAGCTTATTGCTTATAGCTTATTTGCGGTGGGAATAAACAATAAGCAATAAGCATGGGGAGGGATGCTTATTAAAATTAGTTTATTTAGCCTAATAAGCTGGATTTTATCCAAACACTTAAATTAGCTTATTGTGGGAATAAGCAATAAGCACCTCTTTTTTTCCTATCCAAACACCCCCTTAGAGAAAAAATCGAGCAGGGAGGAGATGGGATACGAAGGGCCGGTGACGGCGAGATGCAACGGTGAGAAATCGAGCAGCTTCAGGGGCGGAAACGGCGAGATGCGGCCGGGAAGGGGAGGAGTTCGCCGCCAAAAAATCGGAGAAGGAGGAGCGATTGGGAGCTGAAAAACGAGGAAGGAGAAGGCATTCCCGTACACGATTAAATAGGGACGACTTCCCTACAGTATAAAAATGGACCACAAAAGGTAAAAAAAACATGAGATTCGAACTCGGACCTCTTACGAATTAAAACCACAAACTTACCATCCGGTCGGGTATGCCACATCCTTACTAGATTAGTCTCCAATTACTTTTATCTTGTTTACAAAAAATAAAGAAAAATAGCTTTGGGGTAAAAATTGAACTCAAATCTCACATGAGAATAACCAATTCATTTACCTTTTGGCCGGGTATGCCACATCCATATCGGATTAATCTCCTACTACTTTTATAGACTTTCTGTTATGGATTATTATTATTATTATTATTATTATTATTGTTATTATTATTATTATTATTATATTCTAGTCTCAAAATTTTTTCTTGGATCGTTTTGTTTTTACATATTTAAAACACAAATAATTAAAAATCATACTAATAGTCCTAATAATAATAATATTTTTAACATAATTAATAGTCCTAATAATAATAATATTTATAAACATAATGATAATGTATAATAATGATAACGAATGTGTTTAACACATAAACAAACGAACAATCGAAAAAAAACTACATTTAACACATCGACAAGGATCAAACTTGCATCTAACACATACATAACCCACAAACTTACCAAACGGTCGGGTATGCCAAATCCTTATGAGAATAGACTCTAATTAGTTTTATCTTGTTTCCAGAAAATAAAGAAAAATGGGTTTCGAACAGAACTCGAACCCACATCTCACGCAAATATAACCAACATTCTCACCAAACGTCTGGGTATGCCACATCATTACTTAATTAGTCTCCCATTAGTTTTATACACTTTCTCTTTTCGATTATTATTATTATTATTATTATTATTATTATTATTATTATTATCATGTATATAGTGGTGATGATGATGATGTAGGTATACGTGTTTGTGAGATGTATGTGAACGTATTCAAAAGCATTATAGTGTTAAACCACTAAACGAGCAATGGATCCCGTATGGTCATCGTTGTGTTAATCTGCAAACAGAAAACCGTGGATCAATAGAGAGAATAGTGAAAGGGGCACAGTCGTGGTGAACTACCCGATTAGGTCTCGAAGACGAGCCCTACCAACGCCAACAAAGAAGATGGTGGTTGCTGAGGCGGCAGGCGGTGAAGGTCGTGGTGGTGGTTGTGGTGATGATCGTCATGGTCATGGTCATGGTGATGTGATGGTGATGGTGGTGGTGGTGGTGGTGGTGGTGATGGTGGTGGTAGTGGTGGTGGTGGTGGTGGTGACGATGGTGATGGTGATGGTGATGGTGATGGTGATGGTGTGATGGTGGTGGTGGTGGTGGTGGTGATGGTGATGGTAATGGTGATGATGGTGATGGTGATGGTAATGACAGTGATGGTGATGGTGATGAGCGGTGATGATGGTGGTGGTGGTTGTGGTGATGATGATGATCATCATCATCATCATCATCATGATGGTGGTGGTGATGATGATGATGGTGGTGGTGGTGGTGGTGGTGGTGATGGTGGTGATGATGATGATGGTGATGATGATGATGATGATGATGTTGATGTTGATGATGATGACGACGTATATGAGTTTATGAGATGTGTGTGAACGTTTTCATAAGCATTATAGTGTTAAACCACTAAACAAGCAATGGATCCCGTATGTGCATATGCCTTTATAAATGATATTAATAGCTATAAATTTGTGAAAATATAGATAATCATGTATAATAGAGGTATGAAAAAACAGAGCGAAAAAAACGACGTTTTGTGCCTGAAAAATCAAAAATAAGAAAAATCCATAGCTAATCCGTAGCTAATTAGCTACGGAATTCTAACAGAAAGTCGTATCTAATCCGTAGGTAATTACCTATGGATTAGCTACGGTATATGCTTTCTGTTAGAATTTCGTAGCTATTCCATAGCTAATTAGCTACGGATTTTTCTTATTTATGATTTTTCGGGCACCAAACATCGCTTTTTTCGCTCTGTTTTTTCACACTTCTATTATACATGATTATCTATATTTTCACCAATTTATACCTATTAATATCATTTATAAAGGTGTGTGCACATACGGGATCCATTGCTCGTTTAGTGGTTTAACACTATAATGATTATGAATACGTTCACATACATCTCACAAACATTTATACATACACATATACACGTACAGATATACCACAACTCATTCGTGTGTATAAATATACATATACAAACATAATCCATCACAAGTTGGTGAAAAATATAGGCATTATAATGTTAAACTGTGAAACGAGTACTTGATCCCGAAGGGGCACACGACTTTAAGAACGATATTAATAGCTATAGGTTGGTGAAAATATATAAAATCATGTATAGCAGAGGTGTGAAAAAAACGAAGAGAAATTTGGTACCCGAAAAATCAAAAATAAGAAAAATTTGTAGCTAATCCGTAGCTACTTAGCTACGGATTAGCTACGGAATTCTAACGGAAAGCATACTCCGTAGCTAATCCGTAGGTATTTCGTAGCTAATTAGCTACGGAATAGCTACGGATTTGCATATTCGGTAGCTATTCCGTAGCTATTTCGTTACTAAATTAGGACATCCTATTATGTAGTTGATCTGTAGCGATTCCGTAGCTAATTAGCTACGAACATTTTCCGTAGCTATTTTCCGTAGGAAAACCCTATGTTTTCTAGTAGTGTAAAAGATGGGAAAGATGGACTCTCACGAGCTAACTTAATATTTTTGATTTCTCCTTTTATTTTGTAAGCTTTATTAGTTTGCGAAATTCAAATTAATAGGCGATTCTAAAGTTTTATTTTGTAAACTTGAAATTACAACAATAAAATCCATCCTTCACAATCAATATAAGAAAGAGACAGAAGCTTATTGTCCATCGACGATAAATGAAAGCAAATTACAATACAACAAATGTGATTTCTAACCTAGACAATATTATCCGCTGGGATGATGACCCGCTTAATATATGAATCATAATCAAAACTTTGTAATCAACAACGATAACAACATTTATTCAAAGTGTGATGAAAACGTTTTTATCAGGAGCATTAAGTTTTTCCATATTGCAATCATATTTATCACAACAATAATAACATTAATAAACAAATGAGTGAATAGAAGGTCACTTCACGCAATAAATGTAAACTTCCTTCAACTGTTTCAACTCAAATGTACTATAAAAAACAAGTACAATAAAGTTTCCCTCAAATACTTTTCATGTAAGTATGAGCATGTTTTGATCAAACCCCCATTTAATTGATCACCGGTTTGTCGATCACTTCCAAAGATCCTGCATGATCTTCAGGTACAGGAAGATCAAGTTCGGAGCAAACAAACCGGATAATCTCCGAGGTGGGTATATCCATGAAAGACACCTTATTTACAGTCACAGCAATAGAAAACTGGTTGTTTATGTCACAGTATCCCGTTGAACCACCTAAGCCTGCATGACCAAATCCAATCATTGAACCATTGGTTGTGTTAACCCTCCTAAACCCGAGCCCAAATTTCTCATTTGGCAAGATTAAATCCTTATAATCTCCATTACCCAAGAATGCATCATGAAGTTTTGATTTTGGTGTGCTAAAGATTTTAGTATTGATTTCATCACTTGCGTTGTTGGTTTCATCGATTTGGTTATTGGATGGGGATGTGGGGTGGTGAGGGTGGCTTCCGAGTGGTGGGAGAGACGAAGAGGAGTGGTGGGGAGGGGTGGTGCCGTCCATGAGGGCGGCATAGTAGCGGGCCAATGCACGGGCTGAGAAGTGGCCGTTGGCGGCAGGTAGTATGGCACGGCGGACACCAATGGTGTTGGATAAGTGAATAAGATCTTCAACCAATTCCGCAGTGAGTGAGGAAGGCGTGGCGGATGCAGTCCTGAACTCGGTGTTTCCCGCTAAAGCGGCAAACGTACTGAATTCGGTTGTATCGAATGTAAGAGTTGCCAGACGAGATTCCACACCTGGATTATTCGCATAAAAACCAAATTTCTTATGAATTATCGAACATACTCTTTTCTATAGTGACTAAACCATCATATACCTTTTCCTAGTTTAAATATCCATTTGACAATGTACATGTATATCATGAAAATATATAGAAAAACACAACCTAGTTTCACCATTTTATAGATTTTTCGTAGTTTAAAATTCCACAATGTACATGTATATCAAGACAATATAGAGAAAAACACAACCTAGTTTCACCATTTTATAGATTTTTAGAAACCAACTTTTCACAATGTTTTAATGTTGCTAAGTGACTGATTTTATGATTTAAAAAGGTAATTAACCCATGTTTTCCCGGTATATGGTTATGGTTACATGCTATCTCAGGTTGAATTGGTCACCCCCTTTTAAAATTTCACACTTTGACCAAAATTTTAAATTTTATTACAAATTTGATCCGAATTTAAAATTTTGTTAAGAATTTGCCCCAATTTTTTTAATTTTTTTAACTTTTTTAAGAATTTTTCATAATTGTTTATAAGATCTTTTCTTAAGTTTTTTCCAACTTTTTTCAAAAAAATACTCTTACAATATTTTCTTAACTTTTGCATTGCCTCATATATATATTAGCAAACAATTTTTTTCTCGTTGATTTCGCATGACTTGGATTTGATGAAATAACAAACATGATTAAAAATCACATGACATAATAAAAAAAGGTTGATTTGAAAATGTATATAAGGCAATGTTGCCAATGTAAAAGTTGGGACAAAAAAATTAAGAAAATATTCTAAAAGAATTTTTTTTTTAAATTGTAAAAATTAAAAGAACAAAAATCTTATAAACCCTTATAAAAATGTCTAACCAAAGTTGTAGAAAAAAGAAATTGTAAAAAAAAAATGGGGGTGAATTTGTAACAAAAAATTTAAATTCAGACCAAATTTGTAATAAATTTTAAAATATGAGCCAAAAGTGTAAAATTTAAAAGCGCGGTCACATATTCAGCCTGAGATTATGGAAAGTAACCCTGCACAAAACATGAATTTGTTACCGTTTTAAAAAATAAAATCGATTAATTGGCAACTTTAAGACATTCTAAAAAGCTAGTTTCCTAAAAATAGTGAGAACCCTTATAAAATCAAAGGCAGTTTAGATCATCTTCAACCCATTCCCATTTTTTCTCTAAAAATGGAGTAAAAAATTAGGTAAATAGTATTTAATCTCCAACCCTACTTCATTTTTTACCCTATTTTTACCCCAAAAAGGTATATTCTTAGGGTGTGTTTGGAATTGCTTTTTAAACATAAAAGTCCTTTTTGTAAAAACCCTTTTTGCAAAAGAACTTTTTTCTAAAAGATGAAGTTTAAAATGTGTTTGACTTGTTTTTTATGATTTTTAAGTGGTAAAAGCTAAAAATCACAAAAAGATAAGAATTTCTATCTTTTCTCCAACCAACTTTTTGTTCTCGACTAAAAGTTGATTTTAAAATATCTTTTTAGTTTACCAAACTATTAGTATTTTTTAACTTTTTAAAAAAGTTAAAAGTCAAAAAGATGATTAATAAGGAATCTCAAACACCCTCCTATATTTTATTTTTCCAACTTATATAGATTGTCAATTACAACCTTCTACTAATTTGGTTTTAACAAATATATAATCTATATTGTTTTCATTACAATACTATTAAATAAATAAGATTATATTTATAACACATAATTATAAGCTTTTGTAAAATACGTTATCTTATTTTAAATTTTCAATATGTATTTAAATTTTCATATGAGTTTGATAAGCAAAAAATAAACTTTATATTTATAATTAATTAATATAATTTAATACATAATACAATATTATAAGTATTAAATATAACATTTAAATTATAATTAGTAAATAAAATAACCTAATAATGTATAAATATATAAAAAGAACGATTAAAACTGACAACTCAAAGTTCAACCATATTTTAGGGGAAATGAATAGTGGTGTTATACTATTTATTTCCCTCGAAATGTGAGAATAAATAGGATAAGGTTGGAAAGAAATTGGGGAAGAAATAGGAAAAAAATTGGAAAATGAGAATAGGTTTGAGATGTTTTTAGTGGCTAAATTAATAAAATGATGAAAACACGATGTTCATTTCTATATCTGAATACTTTTTTTTCCAAAATCAGGTACCGAGGAAAATTAGTTGTTAAATGGTAAAAAACTGTATAATGTTTAACCTTTAATCTGAACACAAAATAGTTAGGTGGCTAAACTGATAAATAAACAGTACAAGTCATTCTTATTCCCTGAATCTCACCATGAGGAATCCCTATATAAAGCTCTCCCTCCACATTAAGGGGGCGTACAAAAGCTTCCTCTAGAACATCCTGAAATTTTTTCCCACTTACACGCTGCACATTTTAAGATAACATATACATCAATGAAAATAATTAAAAAAAAAAAAAAAAAAGCATCTTCAAGTCATGTAGAACATGATGACACGACACAAAAGGCCGAACAAAGTGGGACTATATGGGACACAAACTCAGTCTAGTTTCTTTTCAAAGTAAAAGACGTAATTACCCTCGTCGTATATCACTAAAAACAGTCGTAAAATAGAAGATGCATGTAAATGTTACCTCAATGATCCCACCACATAGCCATCCATACGAAAAGTAATGATATAATTGTTCACAACCAGGTTCAGTCTCTGGTGTCACCATTGCAATACGTTTTACACACTCATCCCAATCACAAAACAACGCAGGATCATTTTCAGAAATGCCAGCAAGAGCATTGTGCAAACCAGATGTATGATTAAGTATATGATTAACCTGTATACATTATAAAAAATATATACCAAAATAAAGAAATTGTCCCTACTAATGTGTGTTCAAGTTGTATCAGGTTATAAAGATAACATTAAGAATAAGGGAAAAAAAAAAAAAAAAGAGTTGGGATGATCAAGAGAACCTTTATCTGATCTTTTCCATTTGTACCAAACTCAGGCCAAATGTTCGCAACATATTCGTCAAGCTTCAGTTTCCTGTGATGAAAAAAATATCATATGATTATTTCCTTTCATGATATGATAACACATAGTTCCTCCTCTTATGGGTTTTAAAAATATCGAATTGACGAAAATACCCTTTATCGACCAGCCAGTGTATCATTCCTGTCGTGACACCCTTAGTTGTAGAGAAAACGGGAAACAAGGTATCGGGTTGAACTGGACGAGGGTCATCTTTTCCCATGACTCCAGCTGCAGTATCAATTATCACTTTCCCATCTTTGTATGCACAAACCTAACAAACATAATAATCAAAGTTTGTGTAAAATACAATCACAAAATGTATAATTCATGCATACATTTTTGTTATAGTTGAGAGGTAAAACAAAGACCAATTGATCAAGTTGGTAGATAACTTTAAAGTTTGACTCAAGGTGAAAATTGGCATATAGGTTGTATTTTTGCTAGTGGGGACATGACTTGACCAGACTGGACAAGCTTTTTATGGTTAATTTCGATGATGAGAATATAGAGGGCATTAACGTCTTTTGAACAAATGAGAGTTCCTATCAATCTTTTTGCTATTTTTTTGGGTGGCACAAAAAATTACAATTTTGTCAGGATGATAGAATAATCACAAAAAAATTGAAATTTAAAATGCAGTACAAGTAATATAGTAAACCATTTATAGAGGGGATAATGACGAAAAAACCACTATATTTTGTCACTTTTTCTGGTTTAATAATCCAATTTTCATTTGTGCTAAAAAACCACTTATTTTTTTATAAAATTTCTATCACAACCACTATAACCCGCATTTGTGGCTAGAGATGTCAACGGGGGCAAACGGGACGGGGAGTGCATCCCCCACCCCCGCCCTTGAAATGTTCAGCTTTCCTACCCCCGCCCCCGCCCCCGAATCCCCTTTATTACCCCGCCCCCGTTCCCCCGCCCCCGATTGATTTTGGGTTGTCCTTTTTTTTTACTAAAAGAGGTTGTTATTTACGCTAAAAGAAGCTATTTTTTAGGTAACAAATAATTATGTATAGTAGAATTTTACATGTTAAAAATAAAAAGCTATGACATCTTAAAAACATTATACTAACAATTTAAAAACATGTTTTTTAATGAATTTTGAAAGCTCAAAATCATGTTATAGTTTATTATATTTATATATTTAATATATATAAATACATGTGTAATTTATTAACGGGGTCCCCATGGAAGCTTCGGGACGGGATTGCCTATCCCCGCCCCCGCCCCGAAATTAAAATGGGGGTTAACCTTGCCCCCGCCCCCGTCCCCGCCCCCGATTTTTAAAAAATATTCCCCCTAAACGGGACGGGGTCCCACGAAACTTTTTCACATCCCTATTTGTGGCAAAAAAATCACTCATAATTTGGTGGTTAAATTTTGGAAAAATATAATGTTTTTTTCGTAATTAAAACCGGTTTTAATTGGTAATAGCTGTCGTGCTGAAACATTTTACCAAAAATTGATCGTTTTTTCTTAACTTATGAAGTTTTACCAAAAATTGATCGTTTTTTCTTATCTTATGAACTTTTACCAAAAATTGATCGTTTTTTCAATATAGATGAATGTCTTTTGTACAATCAGATAGATTCCATGTCCCACCCATCAAAAAATTGCAATTTCTTTTCTCTTGGCATAAGTCAAGTACTAAACAAGATTTTTAGGTTTATTTTGGAGAAATAGGATACAGAGAGTATTAATAATGTCTTTTGCATACACCAAGAATGAAACATCAATTAGTTATACTAGGGCCTTGTTAATGCACCTGGATTCCAAGTATTTTATCCGCACTCTCTAATTCAACCAAGAAACGCCTCAGCTTAGCCTCCACGTTAGCATAAGGTCCACTGTCACATAACCATTTAGTAAACAAGAGTATGATCAAATAGGTTAAAAACTTAGAACAAATTACGCAAAATCGATCATACCTTTTAATGACAGATCCCACAATAGATGCCATGATAATTAGATAGAGCTTATGCGAACATTAGTCGAGGGTGAAATTATGAAAACCCTGAAATAATCTAAATTACTTTTAATTAATCATCTACTAACATTACAAGATTCAATTATTTTCTTTAATAACAAAAACAATTGAGCTTACAAGATATAAAAGATGTTTCCGGTGACACAACGATCGTCGGAGCGATAGCGCCGACTGTTGTTCCTTCGATCTGGCTGTTTAGGATAGAAATCTAGTTTACTCTCTGTCTTACTAAATATGTCTATATATATAATATATAAAAGAAGAGAGTCGCCTACAGAAAACTTTTAAATATTAGTTTATCCGTATATGTTGGACCAGTCAATGATTAGTTGGTAGGTAGACCCTATAAGACCTACCATATCTTCTCGGTAATAAATTGGAGTTTAAATACTTATAATTTTCAAATTGGGATTTTAAGTTTATTTATTTATTTTTATTGTTTTGAACGGCCATTGGGATTTTAAGTATAAAATTATAAATAGTTTGTAAGCTGGATTTATGAAAATTTAAAAGATATGGATTTTTTTTTGAAAATGTATAGAAAATACACAAAGATGTTAAAAGGTAAAGATTTTACATATCAAATGTAAAATAATAATTTGAACGTATTTATATATTACTAAATGATTTTTTTAAATGAATATTTATTTCTGTTTGACAACTTTTATAAAAATAAATCAAATTATGAAGAGTATAAATATAAATTACAATATCAAGATTTAGTTTAAAACTTTCATTAAAATTGATGGGGATAAATTTAAAACTTTTGAATCCATAAAATCATTTTTTTATAACTAAATTATTTAAGAGCGTATTTCATTAAAAATGGATAAAATGGTAATATAAATTTATATGTGAATTATATCAAAATGGATAATAAAATAAATCTTTAGATTTAGAAAATAGTTTTTTACTATTAATAAATTCAAGTACGCATTTCAATAAAATGGATAATATATATATATATATATATATATAATATATATATATATATATATATATATATATATATATATATATATATATAGGGGAGAGTTCAATTGAGAAAAAAAAAAGGTTGAAAATGGGGAAATAATTCTCAGCCAATTATTTATTTTTGCCGCAAAAAGCTCCAACATACCGGCGGAAATGTGAAACGAATTCACATGTGTTTTCAAACATAACATATTTCCTTAAACTATGTTAATCATTACCTTAATATATACAAAAACATAGTTTTTTCATTTTTTTTTTTAATTTTTATAAGCTATTTTTATCAAAAAAAAAATGATTTTAAATATACCAAAATTCATGATTTTTTATTCTCTACAAATAGACATCCATATTGATATAGTTTTAAGATAAAATAATTTTTTTTTTATATTTTCAGCTATCATTTATTCATAAATGAATAACAATGCATCAGGTTTTATTACAATACATTCGTTATTCACTTATGAATTAAAAGTATGATTTTTTTTTTTACAATTTAAGTATCATTCATATATGAATATAGCATATAATAAACATAGTATATTCATATTTTAATATTGGACGATGAATTCACTTGTGAATATTAACATAGTATATTCACTTGTGAATATTAGATGGTATATTCACTTATGAGTATTAAATGATATTTCATATATGAATATTAGATAGTATTACATGGTATATCACATGTGAATATTACAAAGTATATTCACTTGTGAATATTAGATGATATATTCACTTATGAATATTACACAGTATATTCACATATGAATATTACAAGGTATATTCACTTATGAATATTGAAGGTATTTTGACAAATATATATATAATTTTTATATGTTATTCACATATGAATAACATACAGACTTGCATATTTGTTTTGTGTTTTTAATAATCAAATATTGATTCAGGTGTGAAAAACATATTCATATGTGAATATAACGTGGTAATTTAGTTTATGCATTCCATCAAGCAGTTGGAGTGCAAACAAGTTAACTATTTTAAAAATGTTAAAAACATCAAGTTATCAATTCCAAATCATCATATACTTCCGATTTCGACTTCAGATACGGCATCCTATCTCTGATCGATTTCTCAATTTGATTTGATTTCCAAAAATCTGATTGGGAACCTGTGAGTACCGATTCTAAGTCCCTCAATGTCGACTGTGATTGCAAGTCCAGAACTCCGGTTCCAATTACATGAACAGCGAAGAAATTCCGGTTTAGTTGAAGAAATCTGGATTATTATTGAAGGTTGGAGGAAAATTTTTGATGATGAACGAACAGTTATCAAATTCTCTATAGTTACGTATTTGAGATTGAAGGTTATTACGATATTTACAAGTTTGCCACCGTGTCTTTTATGCTTAGATTAAATGAGTGGCTGAGAATGATTCCCCCATTCTCAACCTTCGTAAGTAAATCATAAACAATCTCATTTTTATTAATCAACCTATAAACATAATAGTACAAGTATTTTGTTCGATACAAAATAAAATATAAAAAATAAGAAATACTACGAAGATTCCCAATGTTATCATTTCATCATATCAAGATTTTCATATTTTTTTCAATTTATCACTTTTCACCTCTTCAATATTTTCTACAAATTCTTCAAAATCTAAAAGAAAATTTAAAAAATTTGATTAATGCAAGAACGCTTAAAAAATGCATTTGCATATATCATATAAGATTTACATGTGATTCATATGTGAATTACATGTGAATCACATGTAATTCATATGTGAGTTACATGATATTTACATGTGAATCATATGTAATTCTTATGTGATTCACTTGTGACTTACATGTGAATCACATGTAATTCATATGTGAATCACTTATGATTCATATGTAACTCATATGGGATTTACTTGTGATTTACATGTGAATTACATATGAGTTTATATGTGAATTACATGTGATTCATATGTGAATCACTTGTTATTTACATGTGAATCACTTGTGATTTATATGTGATTTACTTGTGATTTATATGTGAATAACTTGTGATTTACATGTGAATCACTTGTGATTTACATGTGAATCACTTGTGATTCACATGTGAATCACTTGTGATTTACATGTGAATCACTTGTGAATTACATGTTATTTACATGTGAATCACATGTAATTCATATGTGATTCACTTATGATTTAGATATGAATCACATGTGATACATATGTGAATTACATGTGATTTTTTTCTATAATGATATCAGATTTACTGAATTCCAAAACACAAATTCAAAAATAGAATACTAAAGAAGCAGACGGTGATAATTAGTGTACTATATAATTAGTTTATGTCCAAAAATAACATAAATATTAGAATGTTTGTAAAGATTTTGTATTTTTTTAAATAAAAAGATTATAATAATAATATCCATGTACCTTGGTTGTTGTGCTCCTATTTGGATTATCATTTATCAAACTCATCATTTACTCTAGGGTTTAATTGCAAAAATCAATTATACAAGTTCTGTATAATCATTTGCATTATCATTTTTTGGTGAATCGGTTATTAATGTAACAACATAATTTTTTTCAAAACAATTTTCGTTTTTCAGCACAATAAAAATCTTATAATATTCTCAAATCTCATGTTATTAAATATCATCACAATAAACATATCCCATAATAAAAAATAATAATAATAATAATCTTCTGCCAGTGTGTACAAATCATGTCGGCGCCTTCCCGCGATCCTCGCTAGTACCTGAAACACATAACACATCATATGGTAATCATAAATGCTCAGTAAGTTCCCCAAAATACCATATGTAACATCCCGAGTTCAGGAGTGCAAGTTCAGGGTTCACAGTGTAAATATGAAAGGGCAACTCAGCGAGTCCATATGTGGACTCGGCGAGGAGTGTTGCGACTCTAGTCGTGTGTTAAATGGCCTACTCGGTGAGTCGGAGGCTGGACTCGGCGAGTAGGCGCTGAGTGGAGAAAACCCTAATTTTGGGGGATGAGCCCTATATAAAGGACATTATACCCTGTCCCCAGCCTCTTTACCCTCTATTGAAGTCTAGAAAACCCTAAGACGCGATTATGAGGGATTTGAGTGCATTTAAACCTTGGAGAAGAAATTTTGGAGGAGATCTTGGAGAGATAGGAGGCTTGGAGCAAGGGTCTTTGCTAAGAATCAGATTTCTCTTCTGTTGGGGCTTCCTTTTGAGGTATTACTTCGTTTCTTGGGCTATTATTCATCTAGATTCATCATCTTGGAATGTGTGGAAAGTTTAGTTTGTGGTATTTCGAGTTTGAAGGTTAGATCTGAGGTTGCTAGCTCAGATTTGGAATGGAGGAGGTCTAGAGTGCATTAGAATCCCTGTTCTTGAGTTTTTGGTGAAGTCATCCTGTCCCAAACCCTAGCCCTAGAGTGTAAAATGCCTAGATCTCTTTGGATTCACGTAAAGTTTGCCACTTTACGTGATGGATGGGTTGTAGAAGGATAGATCTACGTTTTGGATCGACTGCATGGCCTGGAAGGCTTCTGTATGGGTTAAGAGCTAGTGGTACTTGGCGAGTCACAAGGGTGTACTTGGCGATTTGCTTGAAGGTGGGCATGAACTCGACGAGTTGGAAGAACAACTCGAAGAGTTGGTTGAAGATAGCCTTGGACTCGGCGAGTCTGTTCTTGGACTCGGCGAGTCTGGTCTTGAGGTCTTAAGCTAAGAATCGGTGAGTCAAGGGATGACTCAGTGAGTTGAGATGAGACTTTTCAGTGTTGGGGTACTCGGCTAATCAGCGGGCTGACTCGACGAGTAGAGTCAGCTAGGAGGTTGACTTTGACTTTGACTTTGATCAAGACTTGACCAGTTGACTTCTAAGGGCATTTTGGTATTTTGTGGTATTTATTGGGTTTTGTCTTTCGGCTTTATCAGGGGTGGAATTCGTGTCGGAGGTTGGAGCAGCGTGATCTTATCTTTTCAGTCAGCAGTTGTAAGGTGAGTTATCCTCACTATATCAACAGGGTCTAAGGCACCAAGGCCGTCCCTTTATCGGATTGTAATCCAGGTATTGTTGTTATGTTACTGTTTTACTATGTTTGCATCCTGGTAGTTAGGATGGTACATGCTAGTGACCCGGTTAGGTCGGTATCCTGCTTAGAGTATGTCATGTTACGTGATCTGCTAGATCGGTTTGATTGAATGTGAATTGTTATATGATTGTATGTTTATGTGCACATGGTCGTTCGACTGGGGGTGGGTTGAGGCGGGACCTGCTTTGTGCTATAGGCCAACATACCCAGGGCGGACCAGTTATTCCGAAGGCCTAGCGAAC